GTGACACTGAGTAAAGAACATCAGTTGGATATCGCCTTGAGTTCCAGTTGCATTACTGCACTCATTCAAATTCATTCTCATCGCTTACTTGTTAAAATTCATCGAGCACATTGAGAACAAACAAAAAATCGCGTATATTCGGCATCACGCAGTATTCTCCATGACTCAATTAACATGAGTCGGTTCAAAGTCTGTGTGAAACCACAGAGTATTCACTATGTTCCAAGGGATGAATTATTCAATAAATTTCTAAGATACAGCAAAAAATGAACAAACAATACGAACCTTTTTGGCCGCATGTCGTTTAAAAGTTCTCTCCTGTCGAAAATCAGCAGCCATCCATCGCATTTCCTCCAGCAGATAATCCCAGTGAGTCTTATTCCTAGCCGGCATATCAATCATTGGCAATCTTGATGCTGTCCACAGTCCTTGACGACGGAGTTCTGCCACTCGCGCCAGCACTTGTGCCTCCTCAAAATTTTCTCTTCAATTGGGTTCAACTTCTTTAGAAGAGCGAAATATAGTGAGATTGTTCTTCGATTCAAAAAACGTTTACAATTGAACAGTGGGCGATTTGTCGCCAATATTCGACAGAACATAACGCTGTGAAGAAGAATATTTCACATTTGAAACGATACGATAAGTATAAATATAATACTCGTTCAACCTATACTTCCTTTTTAGAAATTATTGGGCAGTATGCGAGAGTAAGCATGACGTTTCTGATCACTCGATCACTAAATGAACAATCGAGACAAGTATCAAGGAAAGCGGTAATCTTTTGTGCTGATGATGTGTGGCAACAGCGCAGGAAATTACTGGTTTCCTTGATACTTACCAACAAATTCTTCATTTTGTTGGCATCGGAAAGAACGATGCCAACAAAATGAAGTATGACACAGGCGATTTTAAGGTTAAAAAGTAGAGGTCGTGATGAGTTAAACGAATAAATGAATACTTGTTTCGCGGCTCGTTCCACATTCGATTCGGTACCAATGGCGACCGACGAACGCGGCGTTGGAGTCGCTTGGGAAGCAACGCCCGACAACGAAACACCCGACTGAGAGACGGTCATCGCTGACGAGGTGGACGGCTGTTGCTCAGAATACGACACACTCGGCTGAAATTATTATGTCCAATCATCAGTCTATCACTGCAGCTAGCAAACACTTTGTTTATCGTTTTGAGAATTTCTCTCGTGTGTTTACGAATTATATGAAATAAAAACTGTCGCTAACTTATTCGAACAAACGAATTTTGAGTAACGAACCTGAGTCAAACTCATGGATTAGAAATAAATAAACTATCTGAATGAACCAATTGAAAATCAATCGAAAAATAACCGAATCAGGAACGACATCTTCCACTTTCACTTCGATTGGTAACAATTTTGTGGAATCACAACTGATCCTTGGTGAGTGCTGTGCTGTTGAATTGTTACCCGATTCTGGTTTTGAAGTTATCTTTGGGGAAGTGAATAAGCTCATCAACGACTGTGCTTGTGATATTGACCTTTAATCAACGAATAAATTGGTTTCGTTAATGCTTCCAGTAAAAACATTTTGAAGTATTTAATCGCGAACAATTCAATGAACGAAACTTTCATCGTTCATGCGTGATGTCAAGAATGAATTGTTTTTTTAATTGCCTATAATTATAACCGCTGAAGTGCTGAACGCGACAGCTGGAAACGCGATTTCAGTGATGTGTAGTTGCAAGAGAATATTTGCAACTCTGCGATGTCATAGCAAATCTGTTATAAGACGACAAAAAATCAATGGAAAAAATGTTCATTGATCTTTTTTTT